TTCCCTGAACTTCTCAGGTCCTGTTCATCTGGAGACAGGAGGAGAGCCTCGGCTTCACGGGCTGCGGGGTTCAGTGTGGAAACCTGAGGGCTATGTGTGCTGGCTGCTGGCTGGTGGTGCTCCTGACTCCTCCTGACTGTGGACTGATTAGCTGTGAGGGCCCTGGCAGGGTCCTGAGGGCCTGAATCGTGTGTGTGTGAGAGAGACAGAGAGACAGAGAGAGAGAGAGAGACTGGGACTGGACCCAGGGAGCACGCAGCACCGTCTCCAGGCTTTTTAAATTTTGAGACAAGTTCTCACTAAACTGCCTAGGCTGAGGCCAGGCGTGGGGGCTCACACCTGTATTCCCAGCATTTGAGAGGCTGAGGCAGGAGGATCACCACAAGTTAGAGGCCAGCCTGGGCTACACAGTGAGACCCTGTCTCAATAAACAAAACAAAACTTCGTCCAGACTGGCCTCAGACCTGTGCTGCCCGCGTCAGCTGCCCAAGGCTCTGGGATGATGGGCAGGTACTGCTGTGCCCAGCTGAGAGCCCTGCTCTTAATGAGCAGCTACTGACTCAAATGGGTCCAGTTCTGCCGACCTCGGTGGAATCACTTGGCCCTGCTGAGCGGCACCCGCAGGGTCTGCCGCCGACTCATTGCCGCTGTGATCTACTTTGCACAGGGTATGACCACGGCCTGCTCGGCAACGTCGCCCACAGTGATTCACGAGCAGCACTACGTAGCACAACTGCAGGACTAGCTCTGGGTTGGTTAGATTTCTGCACAGTACTACTTGTAAACTAAGCTAAAGCTAGAAATTCCACTTGACCCAGAAATTCCCCTTGTGGGTGTCTTCCCGAAAGCATTGAAGACATCGTGGTACAGTGATCCAGGTGCACCCTGTCTACAGGAGCTGAGTCCTGGAAGCAGTCTGTGTGCCCATCAACACAGGAATGACAGAAAATGTGGCCTTACGATGGATACCACTCTGCCATAGAAAAGAATAAGCTCGAGGCATCCTGGGTAAACGGATGCACCTTGAGATCATAACGTTAAGTGAAATAAATCAGACTCCAGGGCTTAAATGTAAATAAATGAAAAAAGAGCAAAATAAAAGACAGACAACATGAAGAGGGGAGATAGATATTTCAAATAGGAAGGGGACCATGGCATGGAGTAGGGGAGGGTAGGAAGGGCATGAAGAAATAATTCAGACGCATTGTGTCCATGCACAACGCCCCACGGGGAACGTGATTACTGTGTGCTGCAAACATGGACGAGTACAAATTTTAAAAAGAAATTCAAACAAACAAACAAACAAACAAAGTCCTTTCCTTGGCACAGCACCCAGAGAGAACCTGACCAGGACCAGCAGACCCGATGGGTGGGTGGCTGATACCTGAGCCCACAGGTCTAGACAGACCATTCCCCGGGCGCGCTGTCCCGTGGGCCCAGAAGGCAATGCCACCTGGGAGGCAGGCGGGGGCTGCTCAGCTGGGGTCAGGCCCCTTCCCGATGGGGAGGAGGAGGCCCAAGGCCCAGGTCTTACGTTTTCCAGGCCGCTGCTCAGGAGCAGGGGCGACTCCCTGCCCACTGGGGGTGACGGAAGAATGAGCCCCAGAGCCGCCGGGACACCTCTGCACCAGCTGGAGTTCCGGGTCTGAGGCTGCCCCTGCCCACAGGGCCGATGCCACACAAGCAAGCTCGGTTCTGCAGGGCAGCGGTGCAGCCAGGCAGTTTGGGGGCCAGACGGTGAGTGAGGTGGCAACGGTCCCCGTGGACCCCTTTTAGCTCCACCATTTCTTTACTCAGCATCTCCCGTCCCTTCTCCATTTCTGTGTGTGTGTGTGTGGATGGCTTGGGGCTGTCCTTGTGCTTTGTGCCCGTCCAGACCTAGCACCCCTGTCACCTGACACAGATACTTCCAGGCTCCCGAGCTGCTCACAGCTCCTCAGACCTTGCTCACGGTTTCTGTGCATGCAGCCCTCCTGTGGGGACGCTGCTCTGAACAGCAGGCCGGTCACTTTCTTCAGTGGTGGCCTTGAGCCCGCTGAGCCTGCTTGAGCAGACAGCCCGGAGAACCTGTGTGTGAACTTTCCCCTCCCTGGACACAGTGCCCAACACTCACAGCTCAAAGGAGGGCGTTTCATTTACCTCAGCGTTTGGGTGGATTCGGCCCATAGTGAGGAGCTCAAGGCAGAAGCACCACGCGGAGGGCATGGCTGCTCAGTTCAGGGAGGCTGGGGATCTGAACCAGCGAGGACTGGGCGGGGACCACATGTAGTACCAAGGCTCTGCCTCCAGGCCCTTCCCAGACTCACTCAGGAATGAGCTCCATGAATCTGCTATGTGTGTCGTAGTCCAATGATGTTGACATGACAGGATTAACAGTTAATTTGAAGTACGGTTTGTACTGAATGTCACTGACCAACAGAACTTTTGGTGGTGACGGAATGTTCTAGATCTGTGCTGTCCAAAATGGCGGCCATAGCCACATATGGCTGCTGAGGACTTGAACTGCAGCAGCAAGACTGAGAAGTGAATTTTTAATTTCATTTACATGAAATTTGCTTAAATAGCCACGTGGCTAAAATGTCAGGAGTAGCGCTCCTGAACTCCCAGCAGGGCCAGGTCTAAGCTGAGAAATGTCACCCACCATTGGCTTCTCCCTTCCTCTCTGGCCTTCCAGGTTTCTCTCCCAGGAGCATCAGCTTTATAATTCACCTGCCTCAGTCTTCGTCCCCTCTCCCACCTCTGGGCACCAGGGCCAAGAGCACAGCCTGCCCTCCAGGTCTCACTGAGGCTCTGAAGTCCACTGCTGAACCAGGAGACAGGACAGAGAAGAGTAGAGAAACCAGGGACTCATGAGGTGCCATTACCTCTTCCTGCAGCCGAGAACTCTGGGTCCTTACAGAAATTTGTCTTAATTTATCTATTTCTTGTCTTCGTCCCCTCTCCCACCTCTGGGCACCAGGGCCAAGAGCACAGCCTGCCCTCCAGGTCTCACTGAGGCTCTGAAGTCCACTGCTGAACCAGGAGACAGGACAGAGAAGAGTAGAGAAACCAGGGACTCATGAGGTGCCATTACCTCTTCCTGCAGCCGAGAACTCTGGGTCCTTACAGAAATTTGTCTTAATTTTTATCTATTTCTTCTCTTTTCCCTTTTCACCAGAAAATAGGGATCACTGCTTGCATTCAGCAGTCACCTCTTGGGCTGTCATTATTTTAAACCAAAGGTAAAAGTATATACCCACACCACAACCACCACTCTGCCACCTGGAAGGGCTCCCAGTGCTCCCGGGTCCCGATTTCCAAGGGTGGAGTGGGACAGAATAGTCTTCCTCTCTGGGCCACATGCCCACGCCAACCGCCTCCAGCCCGGGACACACGTATCTGAGTTGCACAGGCCTGTAGGGCATCTTTGCTAGGGACAGTTTCTTCACCTTTCTGAGCCTCAGGATCTGACATGCAAGATCTGTGCATAAGAACGGCCTTGCAGGAGGGCTCAGGAGCCAGAGGGCGTAACTCGTGTGGATTCAGCCACGGTCGCTGTCAAGGCCCAGCCTGCTGCTCTACGTGGGCTCAGGGTGTGTGAGAAGCGGGGTTTTCCTGGACACCCAGGTCCCCTCTGCAGCTCCCGCCCCTCTCCCTCCCACAGTTCATCGAGGCTCAATGCCAGCATCACTCCCACGGTGGCCCATGGCCTCCCTGCGGGGCGGGCAGTGTCTGTCGCCTCGGCTCAGAGAGGTCCTTGCCTGACTGCACATCCGTCCCTGTGGTTCCAGCTGCATGCAGCCTGGGGACCACAGGTCTGCGAGTCTGAACTTGTGTCATCTCTTCATCCCCTGCCTCAGCCACACTCCTGCCTCGTAGTGGATGGATTACATGACGGAATGGATGGATGGAAAGGTACCCATTTTTCCCCGCACTTCTGAGGACATTGTTCTTTCTCCAACACCTTCTTCGCACCCTGGGCAAAGATCATTTGACCAGAGCACTCTGGGCACTCTGCTTTGCTCTCCCGTTCTGTATACTTCTATGCCGGTACCACACGCTTCTGATTACTGCGGTGTTGCAGCATATTTCAAATCACGAAGTGTGGTGTCCCTGAATGGCCATCCATAAGGACAATGGAGTATTTGTTTGTTTGTTTTGGTACTGGGGATCAAACTTGGGTCTTTGCGGCCCAGGACAATGTAGTATTTCCAGGCGCTGGAATATTACTCGGCCTTAAAAAGAAGGAATCTTGCCATTGTGACAATATGGGGAAGCTAAAAGGCATTATGCTTGGTGAAGTAAGCTGGGTGACAGGGACAGAGCTGCCTGGTCTCCTTATCTGAGGACTCAAACAGAAGACTGTGGCTCCAGGGACTGGGGTTGGGGGTAGAGAGGGAGGTGTCGATCCAAGGGTACTGGGTTCCAGTCCTGTGTGGTGTGTTCTGCAGGCCACTGTGTAGCAGGGCACCGTGGCACTGACAACACAGATTTAAAGCCAGCACAGCAGGGAAGTCCTCTGTGTTCTTGTCACGTGGAAACCAAGACGAAGCAAAGTTCTGGAGGCCATGGATGCCCTGGTGCTGCTGACTGGGGATCACCTCATGGGCGAGGATGGTATTCGTTCTGCAACTCATGCACATGAAAAACAAGGGCGCTGACTGTGCTGGGAGAGAGCAGGGCGGAGCCTGGCAGCCTCTTTATCACTGCAGCACTCAGGAGCCGGTGATTTTGGACTCCGCGGTCTCCCAGGGCGCAGGGACCAGGAGAGGTGGCCAGACTGGGGCCGCCCGATAGACGTCCGCATCCTGTGACAGACGCGACAACTCTGTTCTTTATCTCTGCGCGGCCTCCTGTTTAGCCACAGAACCCTACATGTCTAAAAGACGTGTGGCTTTTCTCTTCAGGGGGCCCCAGTCTGCGCCACACTGCTAGGCTATGACAGAACGTGCTGAAATAACGGCGACTGTTAAAAAATCGCCCGAGACCGCAGACACGCCCGCCCAGACCCAAGGCCGTACCTGGTGGCAAGGAGCGGGTAGGAGTGCGCGGGGCTGAGCCAGGCGTCCTTCCTGCGCGGCATGCTGTTGTAGATTAAGAGGTCCTTCTCCGTCAGGACGACCACAGCCGGCTTCCACTGCTCCCCGCCATCGCCCGGCACCTGGGCAGAAGGTGGAGCAACAGGCGGTCAGGTAAAGGCTGCGAGGCCAGGGCTGGGAGGGCGGCAGCAGGGGGTCCTCGCTCAGGTGGCTCAGGTTACCATCAGAAAGAGCGGACAAGGCCAGGACCCCGGTTCCTGAAAACACCTGTGCTCTGGTCCTGCTCTGCCCCAGTCTGGGATGAACTCAGCTACCTGTGTCTGCCCTCTCACTTCTAGGTCCTGGCTGGTTCGCACTGTGAGGTCCCGGGACCGAGGTTTCGGAGGGTGCAGTCACCCCGCTGCAATGAGTGAGGAAGTCCTGCACGACTGGGCTGCAGGGCACTCAGCCAGTGTGGCTGCTAAATGAATATTATGCAAATTAAACAATGTATGTTCTTGGACCAACATAAAACTTGGGCTTAATGACAAAGATCTAGGGAAATCCCAAATGTCTGGAAAATAAGAGACTTCCAAATAATCAATGGGTCAATCAAAAAAAAAAATTAGGAAGTATTTAGAACTGAATGTAAATAAAAATATAATCAAACTGTGACGATGAAGAAAAGCTTCAAACAATGATCTCAAGTTGTAACTTAGTAAACTAGAAGTAGGAAAGCAAACTAAACCCAAATAAGCAGATGATAGGAAATAATAAAGTTCAGTACAGAAATCCATAAAAAGAAAACAGAAAAGCAGCAGAAAATTCAGTGAAGCCAGTATCTGTGTAGTTGAGGCCAAAAACGTCAATAAACTTTATTAGACTGACCAGAAAAATCAGAAGACAAATCTCAAATATGACAAATGAGACTGGAATCCTCAATACCTAGCCTGAGGATATTTCATATTAAGTAGAATGCTAACTGTAGGTGAAGGCCAACCATGAAGAATTCTATGCTGATAAACTTAATGCAGGTGAAATCCACAAGTTCCTTGAAATACACCAAATTACCAAGCTTACTCAAGAAGAAATACTGGAACAGTGCTATCTCTATCAAAGATTCCATATTTGGGGCTGGGGATTTAGCCCAGGGGTTCCAGCACCTGCCTTGCAAATGTAAGGTCCTGAGTTCGATCCCCAGTACCAAAAAAAAAAAAAAAGATTCTATATTTGTAGTTAGAATTATTCCTACAAAACACACCTAAGGGCCAGGCTACTTCACAGAAGAATTCTACCAAGCATTTAAGGAATACTACCAACTCTTGATAAATCTTTTGAGAAAATCAGAATCCAGGGGATACTTCTAAATAATTCCAGGGTTCCACTTTACACTGACACCAGATTAAGACAAAGGAAATCCAAGAATATAAAGCCACAAACCAATAGTCTTCATGAACACAGATTTTTAAAATTCAAAACAAAATTTGAACAAATTGAGTTCAAAATTTTATTAAAAGGACAATATAAGTAGGGATTTTTTTTAAATGAGTCTGTTTAACATTTAAGTCAATAAAATTTATCATAGTAAAGTAAAATAAAATATGATGACAATCCCCGATTTTAAAACTTTCAGCAAACAAGAATAGAATGCAACGTCCTCAACTTGATAAAGGGCAAGTAGGAAAAGCCTGCAGCTGACATCCTGTTTCCTGATAAAAGACTGAAGATCCTATGAAATTAGAAACAAAATAAAGATAACCACTCTTCCCACTTCAGGTCAAGGTTTTTTGTTTTTGTTTTTGTTTTTTGGTACTGGGGATTGAACTCAGGACTCTGCACTTTTGAGGCAGGAGACAGAACCACTAGCTAAATCCCTGGCCCTTTGGGGTCAGTGTTTGATCAGAAAAGCTTAACCTGTGCAATCAGAAAAAAAAAAAAAAAAAAAAAAAAAAAAAAAAAAAAAAAAAAAAAAAAAAGGTAAAGCCAGGTGTGATGGCGCCTGCTTAAAATGCCAGAACTCTGGGAGGCTGAGTCAGGAGGATTGCAGTTTGAGTGGGGCTGAAGCAATTTAACAACTTAGTGAGACTGTCTCAAAATAAACACTGGGAGCTGGGAATATATCTTATGTGAAGGCCTTAGGTTTAATCATCAGTAATGAAGAAGGAAAGCAAAGAAAGGAAGAAAGAAAGCACAGGTCGGTGGAACAGAGAGCAGAACAGAATAGATTCCCACAACAGTTACTACAGTGGAATGAAGGGAAGTTTACTTCCTCATCTGTGGAGGGAGGATATTTAACTTGAGTCCCGAAAATACTGAATATACATGTCAAAGCTTTAACTTCAATTTGCATCTTGCACTACATAAAACATAAACTCAAAATGGATCATAATCCAAACCATACCACATAAAACTGTCTTTCAGAAGAAAACAAGAGAGGATCTTTGAGACTTTGAGTTGGGCACAAGTTTCTTACATACACCATCGAAAGCACGATCCATAAATGAAAAAGACTGATAAAATGGACTTCTTCAGAACGAAACGTTTCTGTTCTTTGACAGTCATGATGAGAAGGGATAATCTGCAGAAAGAAAAGCATGGGAATATTCTCAGGTGCTCTCACTATAGGTAACTCAGAAAGCCCAAAGTGTATCACCTGGTGAATGTCTGAAGAGGCCGTACGTATCACAAGGGAAGGAAAAAGGAGCTGGGTGTGGTGGGCTGTGATCCCAGCTATTCAGGAGGCCGAGGCAGGAGGATGGGAAACTGGAGGCCAGCCAGGACAGGTTAGCAAGATCCCGTCTCAAAATGAAAAAGGGCTGGGGTGTGTAGGGATGGAGATCAGTGGTAGAGTGCTTGCCTAGCACTGATGAGGGCTGGGTTCAGTCCCAGCACCGCAAAACAAAACAACTCTAAAAGAAATTAAACAACAACAACAAAGCAAGAAAAGCCCCAGAGGAATGGACTATTGGTGTATGCAGAGGGAAGAATGTGTCTTACAATAACTGCAGAATGAGAGAAGCCAGGACATAGGGCAGTAAATTCCCTTTACACAAAACCCTAGAAAATGTGGAAATCTCCAAGGTCGTGGCTGCAGGGACAGCAGGTCCATGTGACTGCCTGGGAAAAGCAACCTCCAAAACTGGAGTCCACCATGAAAAGCTTGTATTTTATACATGGAAATTACCTCTGACAGAATTCGGGGTAATTTTTGTTTTATTATTTGGCTAAAAACCACAATGGAAACATTTTGAAGAAGTGGGATTCCTCTTGAGAGTGGTGAGAAGGATGATGCAGAGGAAAGAAGGGCCTGGTGTCCCCCAGTGAATGACAAAGGTCACCAGGTCCTCAAACCCCCAGGTTCCAGGGTGTCCTATGCTTGGCGCTGCCCTGCAGGGTCAGGGCCAGGCAAGGAGTCCCAAGAAAGCGGCCGGAGCCCACGTCACCTTCAGTTTCCCAAGAGCACACCTGGAGCAGAGTGCAACTTCTCATCTATACAGAGCGTGCAGAAGGTGAAAAACGCTGATATGTTCTACAGGCCCTTCGGTGGCTCCAAAAAAGCAACGTCTTGTCCTCTGGGCCCGGGTCTCCTAATGAAGCTGCCTTAGGGCAGAACCCACACTGCCACTGGGACACGCAGCCCCCTCTGGAGGACCCTGTTATTCAGGCGTGGTAAGCAAGTCTGTGCACAGGTTGCCTGTTTCCTTACCAGTGAGGAGTCAGCACGCCAAGATAGCAGCATTTAAACCCAGTCCAGGAAGTGACTTCCTGCTTCAAAGGATGTTGGATCCCATTAGGGTTACTCCATCTCTCTGCCTTACCGGGAGTTCAGGACAAAAATGAATCAAGTTGGAAAAGAACCTCGAGCAACTAGACACATTTGCCTGAATTAAGTTCAGGTGCCTCATTAAGTTCAAGTTAAGACAGTCATGGTGGCATAGGCCTGTCACCCCAGCACTCGGGAGGCTGAGGCAGGAGGATCACCATTGAATTTGAGGCCAGCCTGGGCTACATAGTGAGCTCAAGGCCAGCTTGCACTACATAGCAAGACCATGTCTCAAAAAACCAAAACGATAAAGTGTAGGCTGAGTTAGGGATGATGGTCCAGTCTATGCCTTTCCCTGACTTTTGCAAAGTGGAAATTGTGGTCTGGCAGAAGGCAGCACTTAATACTGGTAGGAGAGGTGCCCCACCCTACGTGACATAAGTGTCCACCTTACTCCCAGGTTTTAGTCACCTGCTTGTTCAGGGTTAGGAAGCACCGTGGAGCCAGGCAGTGCCCCACCACGGAGCTGCACCCCTGCCACAGCTCATCCGGGGAGTGTCCCTTCACGTCCCTATGACCGAGGACGTGTATAGAAGACTGGTCCCCAGGGACCCTTTCGGGACGCCAGCGTCTGCACACAGCACTGAGGCCAATACCCTACCTAATCTCACATTTCCCAGGGCCCAGCACCAGTGCTAATCGGCCCTTGCTTGGGCATGAACAAAAGCGAATTTCTGTTCCCCAGTACTTCGCCATTTTCTTTGGGTCAAGGCTGGAAACCCCTCCAGGGAAATGGGCGAGTCCTTCCATCGCCCCACCTTGGCGCTCCGCTCGGAGACATCCTGGCCATGACCTGGGACCCGAGTCTGGACCCTGCTGTGTCTGCACCGCCCTGCACTGCACTGCAGTCTCCAGGCCTGTTCTCAGCACGCCCCCTCCAGGAAGCCCTCACTCCGAGAAGGAGCGAAGCCCCTTCCCTCCGGACCCAGCTTTCTGGATCCCGCCCCACTGCCCTTGCCCGCCCTCTCACTTCACGACCTTCGGCCCCAGAACCCCAGCTCAGCAGCCATTCCGTCCAGGGTCAGATATGTATCCGTCACCTCTGTGAGCTTGGATCAGCTGAGGACATCCTGGGTCGCCCAGAGACACAGCCTCTTCCTGGGGACGGCTCTACACACCAGCTGTCAGAAATTACGGCTGGCACTTTGAGTAAAAATGAATTCCCCTAAGTGCTTAACGATGCTTAGTTCTTTCAGACCTGGAAGCACCCCGTTTTAATCATGTTTACTTATTTGCTTAGCCTGTTCTTTTCTGAGGAAAGTCCAAAAATAAAATTTGAGTCTGTGCCCTGCCTGGGTTACACAATGTCACAGTGAGCAG